TCGATAGGTTAACGGTGTCGCAGCTGGAGCTTCGATCCACTTGACGACTAACCGTTAAATTTGCGAGTATTATTTCGAATATACGCAACGACAACAACAATTTACAGACAACAAGCTATTCGTCGAAGCAACCTCAAATATTTGGAGCGGTTACCTCTAGGACAATCAATTATTTTGGCAAGTGCTCTTCGTACGAGTTCCCTTTTATTCGCCCCTATATTCTCCCCCAGCATAGTTTACTACCCTCTCGTACGAAACGTCCCAATTACAAGTTGCTCGCGCTGTCGGAGAGAGACGGAGGGACGCGAAGAAAACAAGAAAAAGAGAAACGTGATTTACCGACGTCAAAAACGAGATCACCGGGTAGAAAGGCAACTTGTCCCCGGTCACGCGCAGGATCATAAATCCTCGAGGAGCGTATCCTCGAACGGGGATTAACGCGAAGCACGTATGGACGTCGGAATAATTTCTGGATAAATTTAGTCCCGAACAATACGTTAGATTTTACGGTGTACGCAAAAGTGGGCCGATTTTCTCGAAAGATGTTATTTCGTTTGCCTGGGCGTGTTAAGTGCAAGCGCATGGCCAGGTTTATTCCTTTTTAGGTATTTACGAGGCATCGCACGAATAACGAAGAGGATGCCGACTAACCGATTATGCGTAAAAGTAACTACATGGCGGTAAGTGAAAAGAAGAAGCCGATTGGCAACTACCGACGCGGCTTGAATTTATAATTTCCATTTCCATGAGAGACGTACGGTGTGCGGCGAAATATCGCCACGCGGATAATACGTCGATGCGGTTTGCAAATCGCGGTGTAGCAACTAGCCTTATACGTCGAAAACAGATTTCGAAATGCAAACGAAAGCGGAATACAAGATAAGCGCTGATAGCCGGCTCTTATGCCGCGCGCTTCGAAAACAGAAATTTATCGAACGATCGGTAACGATCTACATATTCTCCACGGGATTCATTAAACGCCCCTAAACGACAGCGTCGACGCACGCTGCGGTATAAACGCGATTTAAATGCGTGCATACGCCTAACACCCCAATCGAGACGCGTGCTGCGTTCAATGGACATTCAGGAACAATCCATTTAACCCTTATTAGGTCAGTGTCAATGGCCAAGATTGAAACGCCAGCGGATAGCCGTATCGCTTCTCCTTCTCCGTTCATCAAACCTTATACTACAAAAGCGAAATGCAATATGCATATTAATTCCTAAACTCCTTCGCTTCTATATCTCTAAAACAATCAATTCTATTATCTTCCATCGCTTTATCTCAACAGCTAATATTCGTTTCCTGATCACGATTATTCCAGCAAATGGTGCGAATCGTTGCGCTTATCGAAGAAACAATCTTTTTTGAAACTTTTACTTTTTTTGAAAGTGTAATTAGAATTGTCGGAGGTACGCGAATTATTCCGTATATTACGGTGAACAGTGCCGATCGTATTCAGTAGGTTACAAAAGTTTACTCGGACATACCGAACAGTATCCGGTGATCTTTCGACTTTTAAAACATTCATGAGTGAACCAGCCGAACGAGCATATCCGATGCACTCTCCGAACGCATCCCAGACTCTACTTCTTCCCTTCCATCCGTGCCGGCTCTTTGACCTCAGCACCATTCTGCATAACGGTGCATCGGCCTGGACGTTTGCCTATTATGTCACTATATTCGCGAAAGGATGCTGGGTACCGTAACTATAGCCTGGATCGAAGTTTCTCGGATTTTCCTTGAACCCGTACACGATCGCTTACCGCGGTACGACGCAATCATCGCGAACAAACAAGAAAATACGGACCGCGCATGGTACAATAAAACTCCGAGAATCGCGAATGTAACAGCAACGAGGACGCGGTTATGGTCTCTATCGATCTTACAAACGGATCCGTAACGCTTCTTTTCTCATCGTTTTCTTATAACTGTCGCGAGAGTTGCACAGTTATCCTTTTCGAGAATTATGGCACGATCGCAACTTAATACAGACCGAACGAATTGCCGTGCAAATTGCTGTTAAAGATAAGACTCTTATGCCCGTGTTATTGGTACTCGTAAAAACGATAGCGCTGCTTAGAACGACGGCGAATGCAACTTCTTTACGACGTCTTTCAATTGCGTCTAATATACTAATATCAACTGGAAAAGGAAGAAAATTATCTAACAATTATTTCACTTATAAATGTTTGCACTCGTTATAAGCAGTGACTCGTTCGATTAACCTCAACTTTTTCGAACGTCGAGTTAGAAACAAGGAAATTGTGTTTTACGCCGTCACGGTACTACCTGCTTCCCAACGAATCGTATTCTCGACGCTGTTGAATAAAATTATTCGCGTGGACTACTTCCTTACGGTAATTTTCATACTCGAAATCCCGCAACGCTGTCTAATAATTGAAATATCACGAAACAATGTCGGTGATATCGTACGAAATGATCGAAGCGACGTTACCTATGCCTGTCGATTACGTCTAGTAAACCGATCATCGTTCTTACGCGGTTCGAACCACTCAGACGAGTTTCTCCATGCTAATCGACCTCGAAGAGAAGAAGCTTCGCGTTCAGTCAGTGACTCTAGCCGAGAAAAAGAATCGCAAAGGGGAGAAGTTGTTCCGAGAATCAAAGGGTGAAACCACTCGCAACTAAAGACCGTTTATAGCCTGGAGAGGAACTGTTCACCTCTTTCGACTCCCCTAAAAGCAGGAAGACGGGGCAAAAGAACTGGAGGAATTAGAAACATCAGAAATCGTTAGGACGCGCGTGCTCGCGTTTCCCGCATGCCAATCTCTCTCTCTTTCTCTCTTCGTTTCTTCGAACAACGTTTACACACGCATCCAGCCTGCCTATTTACGTATGCCCGTGCCTACTTATGTACGAAGCAGTCAGCACGTACGTGCCGAGCACATAATATATCGCGTGTCCCAATCGAACTGCCACCCTTCCTTCTCTTCTCGATTCTCCTTTCCTACGGGCTACAGGAGGGTCTCTCAACAAATAGACCTGCCGCCTGGAAATGGTTGTAGCCTGTGCGAGCAAACACGTACCAGCGTTTCGACGATCGTGTTATTTTTACGTGTACAACCTAAAGAAAGCTCCTTCTCACGGTCTTCGAGCAAATAATATCGAATGGACGAGGTTCGACAGATAATGTCACGTAACGCGTACGCGCATTTGTTAAAAAAAATATCGACTACTATAATCGCAACAACCAATAACGTGAATCGATTCCCGCATCAACATTTGATACGTTCAATGAACTAATAAGGTAATTGCGGATTCGATTCGCGCGAAACGACCAAAGAAACGTGTACAAATAATTACAAATTATAGTAGACACGCAGAGCACATTGCTGGTTATATCTTCGATCGATTACGACAAACGATAACTATTCTTCTCGAAATGATACCCTTTTGAAATCGATTGAACGGATTAAGGAAAGCTGATTAAGCTCAATTAAGGAAATGGTCGTTCGCGATACGAACGAGGAAACAAGAGGAACTGAAACCGGAGAGGAAAGTCGACGATCTCTGTATTACCGGTGTAATAATCCACGGCAGGAATGGTTATGCCCTTAACACGCACCAGCACAGCGTATGCAAAAGTAAACACGTCGAGCCTGTTTAACGCGTTCGATCGTGTGCGTGCCACCTTTTCTTTCTCTCGCTTTTTTTCTCCCCCTGTAACAATCATGCGAGTCCCTTTCACCCCCTATGGTCGGTGACTAACACACAAAGACAGACGGTGCCCTTACCGTAAATCGGCGACGCACACGAGCCACGAGGAGCCACGATGAGACTCGTGTCCCGCGTGTTGGTGCGTTGGCTGCCGTACGTGTCGATGCGTGGGCGACCCCTCCGAATCGCGTATCGAGTGCCGACAGACTAACGGAAAAAGTGCACAGTGCATGCTTACACCTTCTCCGCCGCGTATCACGATGCACTCCTCTCGCTATTTAACCCTGCGTTCGGACCACGTTTCTCTTCCGACATAACCATCGACCGACAAACCAGAAGTAACCACGTTTTTCTCTCGCTTCGTTCGAAGCTGCTAGCAACGCTCGCAATCCATGGAGACGCATGGTATCGATAATCCCCCATAAAGATGATTTATGCGGCGCTTCATTTCGAAACCTTATGGCAAATAGTACATAGCCGCGCGAGAGATTGTCCGTCGTTTAATACGGATCACCGCAGGACTTTTATACTCTGGTCTGGTTCCACCAAGTCAATAATTTATTACGATGGGCTTTGGCTCGAGCCAGGGTCAATATTGACCGTGCTGGGATAGAGGATACGGCGCCGTTCGCCGCGAACTACAACAAATTCGATCGAGGAGTCCATCCGCAAATGTTTGCGATTGCTTTCTAGAACTTGCTCTTTGCTCGGTGTATGAAATAAAAAAAAAATCAGACCCGTTAAAGAGAAACGACCGTGACCGAACAATCAATAACCGACAGAGATTGCTGTACCAAAATTTATTGGAAACGTAACGCGCCTTCGAGATTTATTACGCGACCGTGCGTTATGGATTTTCGATATTTACCGGTGGACACGATAAAACTACTCCATCGAGCGTCGACAATGAATGAACGAATGAATGAACTCGGAGTAACTGTTCGACGATGCGTCATGGACCGTTCGACGAAGAAAGAAAAAAAACCCGTCGAAAAAAATGGAATGTATATTATCTGGACGAAACCAGCGAAGAAAACGAATCGGTAAGATTTACAGGAAGCGGTTAGATTCGTCGCTTCCGCGAGCATAGTTAACCAGAAGAATTGTTTATCGCTTTCAGCGAGCTGAGAACATTCTACGCCGTTCTGGAACCGTTCGCGAGGATTTTAAAGGATCGTAAAACACTTTTCGCCCACAGAAATTCCTAGTCGAAGGCTGTCGTTAAAAACGTTGTGTACGGAAGAGGAAATCCGAAGCGTGTAAAATTTAATTCGACGGAAAAGGTATCTGTAATTTCGTTAAAAGGATCGGTGCTTACCTTTCAATGGTACACATGTCGTGGCAATATCGTTTTCAAAAGGGTACAGGTCAAGTACGGCTACTTTTATGTTGAACTTGGACCGTGAAGTTCTCTCGTGGTTGTTGAAGCACCATTAATACCCGAAGCAAACCAAACGAGCGCGCGTCAACGACTGAGTCGAGGCAGCACGAGCACGAGTTAAGAGTACCACGAAGAGCGTCGGTAACCACCGAAGACGCCCGAAGTCCCATTCGAAAAGCCGATTCTTGTCAACCCGCGACCCTACCATTTTCAACCCTTTCGTTTTATCCCTAATTAAGATTGGTAAATACGAATCTGCAACGACGTTTCAAGATACATCGTTCCCCTTCGTCCTACGTATGTCGGTTCTGCAATCTCGTATGCGTACACGACAAAAGTCACGCTTTTCTCTGACAAAACTCCCGATTTATAATTCCTCGAGGGATTAAAGCGTTTAAGCCATTTTCGAGTCGAATATCAGTCATTCCTATGGATTACGTATTTCTATAATAATTCGGTGTAAAATTTAACGAAGTTAAAATCGGCTTAACAAGTCTATGAATAGATTAAATAACGAAAGAGAGGATTATAATCTTCTTCCTGGACATTCGAGCTAAAACGTGCGGCTGTTATAGTCGATACAACGGTACACAATACTGATCCTAACGTATGAAAGGACAACCGAGAGTTTCCCACACAACATGTTCGCATCAAGCTACGTACTCGGTTGTGCATATCCGTATGCCTGTAATCGAGTCAAGAATGCCGTTGCACTTCTGTACTACAAATTACTTACACGGTAAAAACCTCGTAAATCTTAATCTCGAATCGTAAACCGTTTGAATTTTGAGTCCATAGAGTAAAGTAGCCTTGCCTTATAACCAACTAAAATTTCTCGACAAGCTGATAAGGTGTCTTCGCTAACGCGTCTCCACCTAAACATTCTGTTATGACTCACGGTTCTTCGAAACGCTTCCTGTTGACACGAATCATTTCCATGGGCGAGGAACAGTATTCAGGACAAGAACCTGAAACTTGTAAAGACGTTAACGTCTTACATCGCCCAAGTAAATATCAATGAAACACTCGTCTTGCACAGCAAGTTTAATCAAAGTTCAACGGGGATGCTCAAGAAGAAAGGATATTTTAGTTTTTTAACGAGGTGTATTCGATATCGTTTTCTTCCTTCGATGTTTCTCGACTCGTCGAGCCTTGTGGAAAAAAAGAAATCCCTTCGATTGGGCAATCGCTCTTCAGGACCGCGCCAGTCTCTATCGTACCGTCGTATATTTTCCAGCTAACAAGTACTCGCATCTTGCACTCGTGCTTCGTAATTAAAACCTGCCGACGATATCTTTTATGCAAACACGCCTCTTGTGTGTAAATCTTATTTTTCTACGCCGGGACACCCGGAACGAGATACGAAAACGAGGCTACTAGATCATTGGCGTAACTAGGCAGAGACAAAAGTAAGGTGGGATAAAAAGTCTATGGATATACAAGACGCAGAATGCCTCGCACACTTAGCGCGAGAAATTACGGATTTGCAAATTCCCAAAGCCTTTCAAAAGCCACTTGGTCATGCTTCACGTGGGACCTTGGCCCACTTCCAGACAAAAGTCTTAGTTACGCCACTGCATTAGATGCTTTAATTCAATGCGAACGTTTCCTATGGGAAACAATTAACAGACAACTGTTTCTCAGCTCGAACAATAACGATCGGAAGAGTGGCGATCGTAGCAGAATAATATGACCGATTCTCGCATAAGAATCTCAGAGCGCGTGAAATAAAAAGTAACAGGAGGGTCGTGCAAGGTCTTTTGAATCTTTGAAATATTTAGCATTTCTCGATGCAACGAGCAATAAATAATTTTGTACCCACGTCAAGAGCAATGGGCTCCTTTCGTTTTCTCCGGGCACGTGCATAAGATATGCATCACACGCCGGCGACGCGGTTTTGCTCCCTTTTCTCGCGCCGTGCACGAATTCGAGCCAGCCTTCGCTCTTTTCGATCGTAAATAAGCACGCTTCTATTCCCCTTTTTATCCGCGATACACTCGGGGGTCTCCCGGTACCTGTCCACCGTTTATTCTCTTCTCGTGCCACGTTTTTTCCTTCTTTTCCTATACTGGCCAACCTTTCTACGGTTTCGTGATATATCATAAATACGAAACAACATATTTCACGATCTTTGTACCTCGGGAATGTTCCCTCGACACGTGCTTACAACAGGACACTGTTGCAAAAAAACGTTTATTAACATTCTGATACCGCTTCGTTTACCCGTTTAATTTATTACGTTCATTACGACCGACGAACAAAAATCGGAGAAGTGTTCGGTACGCGTTCGTCGAGAACGCTTCCTCCATTTTATATCACAAACCGTTTTCGAATACCTGAACGCAATTAAATTCCTTTAATATGCTTCGTGTTCTCGTAATTTCGAACGATCCATCGAAACAGGAGTGTTGCGGTTAATCGTGGTCAGCGATACGTTCACTGTGACATAGGAAAAAAAGTATCCCCTTATCGACTTTGGCTCCATTAAAACGATTGCACCGCGTACCACCTACCAATCTAATTCCGTTAAAACGTTCGTACCACGGTATTTCCGAGATTAATCTTGTGATCACGACTCCACCTTCCATTTTTACGTGACCATCGGAAATCTTGACCGAACGAAGGCTAACAAAATGAATCACCGAACGTACGATGAAAACTTGACCACAAACAAGAAAATGTCAACGCCTCAAAATTTCGCGTTCAACACGATTTACGTGACGACACAAAATTGCGTAAGAGGACATTTATTCGCTGAAGAATATGTCGAAGAAATCTAAAGTAAAGTCCGCGACAGGAATTTCTGAACGACGTGGAAAGAGTTTTAACGCCCCGTTGGATAACCTACACGCATCGCCTTCGTTCGTTGCAGAATTTCAAAAGTGAGTGCATGACAGTTTGGAGGAAAATCAGGAAAATCTTGGAAACTCAGAATTACACAGAACGCGCAGTAATCGAATAAAAACGAAGCTTCGAATTCCTCTGAAATTTCTTGCAAAATTTCGCGTTTATTTATTTCAATTTATTATGGTCTCTTTGTCATTCGAGATAGGAAATTGTAATGTTGAATGTAACTAGTTGCACGGCCATCGCTCAGCAACATCCGCGAGCCGTAATTCGTTCGAATGAATAATTCATGCAATTCGACGCGATTGTCATCGACAGCTGATACAATACGACTTTTATAAAGCTCTTTGCACGTCCATCGAGTGTCTCTTTCCCTCCCTTCTTCATTGTAAATTTCTCGCAAATTGCCTGTCACGATGAATTAACCGGTACAGCCCGTCAATGTAAACGTTTTTCCGTGAACGTAACGGAAATAAATGTTTCGTAACGGTATATACGTTAATCGTATCCACGGTAGCATCGAATTAGACAGGCTACACGGCAATGCGTTTTAACCTATTTGTGTCTGGCGACCTGTCTAACGCAACAGCTACAAAAAGTAATTAAGGAACAACATAATGCTGCTCGTTGCTACTGACGTAATTAGGATTTTTGTCTGCGGTGGGGCCAGATCCCCTAGCTTTACCATTAGCATTGACAAATCGAGACTTTGAAAATTTGTAATACTAGTTATTTCACGGCCTCCGTTTCTCGCGTGGGAAAAACCAATCTGTATCTCGAGGGTCAGGCCATTCAGGCCTTTACGTAGTTACGCTAATGTTCATTACACCATACAAATTACCTCTTACCGTAAGGTTAAGGACGACTACGCTTCCGTGACAACAGTAAATTCCTTTTTCGGCGTATTTCGGTAACTCTGTAGTTGTAACATCGTAAATAATTATAGGGCTGCTTGGTTATTACCAAGATGCGGTAACAGGCGCTTCGAAAATTGAACCCCTCAGGAAACAGGTTAAGCGTCTCAAACTCTCGATTAGGGAAACGGGAATTCTGTGTAAAAACGTACGAGAACTATTTACGGCGAACGGGATAACAAAGTTTTAAGTATAAGTAGGTTAAAAACATCGTATAAACGACTCCAACGCGATAAAGGAGGTATTTAACGAATGTAATGAGCTACAAACGAGTCTGCGCAGACATCGGCTACGCATACGAGGGTATCTGGCCTAACAGCTTCTCGTATATTGAACTATCATTACCTTTATGTCGACTATTATCGACCAACGCTCGCCAGCAGGAAGAAAAAATCTCGCTTTCCGAAAAACTCGTTCATCGTGGAAAGTAAGGAAGCCAGTCCGAAGAAAGTTTCCAAAGATACCAGGCTAACTTCCAACCTTCCGAAAGACGCTGCTGTACACTTTGGAAGCTTTTACGGCGTCCAAGGAAACGCCAATAAATCGCAACCCCGGGAAGTCCACAGTCTTCTAGAATCTGCCAGTCCTTCCTATGCAACAACGCCTAGATTAGAATTCACCAGACAGATGGTTCAGAAGTGAATAAAAGATAAATTGAAGTAAAAACTGCGAGTTTACTGGAATATGTAGAAAATGATCCTTTAATATTCCAGGCTGGAACGAACAGCTGGCACAAAGGACTACGCGCGACAAGTGTCAGCTTTATTAGAAGAGACGGTGGAACCGCCGCATTTCAAGCTGCATTCTCCACCAGTCGAGAATTCAATTCCCGACGGGAGACACAATCCCACGGGATATCCTCTCTGGTACAAGGATCCTTATAAGATGTCGTTAGTATTCTCCCGTTAGTTGCGTCATTCGATCCATTCGGTCGTCGATGGGATTGCTCTCGTATTACCTGAAAATAGGATAGACCGTAGTGTTATAATGGCTTTCTTCTCCATTAAGAAAGAATAACGAGGACAGTCGAGTCGACAGCCTGATAATAGATAACAAGATTAAAAAGGAATTCCTGAGGGGCTGATGCGATATTCCTCTCGAGCGTTCTAATGGAACGATGCGTTTTTAGGTTTAACTCGGACGAGATTTACAAACTTCTGAAGGAGGAATACGATAACGATTCGAAGAACGCGAAAGACATATTCGAAGAGGAGATTGTGGAGCACGAATTTAACGAAGAAATAAGCAACGACGAGCAAGCGGAAGATGAAAACATGCAAGATATCGGTGCTGATCGTTTAACGGAGGAGGAAAAGTTATTGTTAAACGTACTATCTCACGAATATTCGTACACCGCCGAAGCGAAGGCCGCGAATTCAAAAAAAAGCGACGAAAGTGTGACTGTTTCTGACAATAGAGATTAACTGAAGTAAATCGTAGAATTTCCCGTACATTAACGAACCCGATGTAATTTCCACTCAACAATATTGATGCTCGTTACTTCTCGTTCCTATATACTATACGGGGATACGGTAATTAGTATCGTGTTATTAATGACTCGACCATTATCAGAATGTCTATCCTGCGATGTACAATATTCCGAGATACACTTAATTAGGATCTCTGATTATTACTTTTTTATGTTCCGTATAATTACACGTTACTAAATTGCTGTGAATCTAACGTTGCTTCTGAGTTTATTAATTACTAAAGTGAGGATTTGCGAAAGGACGAGGAAAGCCGATGATGGATTACCGGAAATTCTGTTTGCCTCGTTTCCGTCTATTTGTTGACCTTTTGAACTCAAAATTCTCATTCGACGATATACACTAAGCTTCCAATATCGGAAAGGTTCGAGAAAAATTTCTGTGGTCAATATTGGAACGGTCGAGATTTCGTACAAGCTAACGAACGAAATATCCGATGTAGTTTCCCGTTTACCGAAAGAGGGTGGCATTATCCATGGTGGAGTGTTCGCATTGTTTTCGGTTCAGTGGAAATGCAAGAGGGCGCAGGATGGGGGTTGGGCTCTTATCGATTATTCCGTCTACCACTGCAAAGACGCTTTTCATGTATCTTTAACGTGATCGAAAATTAGATTTATGTATCAAAGAGTACTTCGAAGAAAAGAGGAGGAGCGAAATCGACGAATCGCGTTAAACGAATAAACGGAACCGGGCGAGGAAATTCTTTGAACCGGTAATTCAAACAGCCGTCTCTTAACGAGTACAGTATATACATTGGTTTATTTGTTCGTGAAACTATACAGAATGGTCCACAGCGAATCGTAGCTTACTTAAATAAGTTAATTAAACATTGAGGCCATCCGCTTAAAGAAGCGTATACCAGTTAGACACATCGGCTTAACATACACCTGTCAAAAAAGAGGCATAGTATGAAAAATACTACGCACAAATCACTTGTGTTCGGCAACACGAAATTCATCGTTCCATTCGCAATGCAATCTGGTGAATGGCAGTTTGAACGCGCAACGAGACTCGACTGCGTTGTTTGTAAAATTAAACGCTGTACAAAGAAGCATCGATTTAAAAATCTATCCGTTTCTATGTTCGCTTCCTGTAAGGAAACACCGGTACAGCAACCAGTCCCATGAAGATAAAAATTGCACCACTGTTCGTGATTACGAGAAACTCGATTCTCATACTTCCCTCGACCTCGAACGTAAGGCGCGTCGAGGTTACCGAAGTACAGTATCATTACACTATCGATAGTTTTCTTTTGATACAATAATACGTTTTCTCTCTGTTTCGTACTTGACGCAGTACAAACGTTGTTCTTTCTGGAGCTCGACACGACTAGCTCCCATCGGATTGATACTTTCGAGGCCTTCCCTAGGTCTTCTTCCACGAGTAATACATTTCCAGAGGCCGATTGACGCGCCAGAATTTGTCGTTCACCTGTCGCAACGTCTGTGATCCGCTCAATACCACTAATTGACCAGGAGAAGGCGCTATGTAGATACAAAAGTTCAGTAACCTATCCGATTCTGACAATTCCGTGTCCAGATCCAGCGTCAATCTCATAGCCAAGTATTTGCTCAAATGATCCACTGTGAATGCAACAAACATTGTTATTCCCTTATTTTCATCCGACTCTTAGATGTTGTTCTGTCAGATAATTTACCTGTCGCATTCGCGGTTGTTTTGATATATCGAATGCTGTTTTCCTTTAACGCTTTAATCAGCGAATTATCGCCGGCCATCTCTGTGGGGTGCGGTTTAAAAACAAGTTCGATCTCGTTAAGCATCAACGGTTCGCTGGGACCTTCACCCTCCGTATCCACCATGGAATCACCTCCGCCGGTTTCGGCTTCTGCACTGGACGAATCGTTCTCCGAATTCTGCAAGCTTTTTTGCCGTTTAGGTGGTTTAGGGATTTGATTCGCTGGATTTGGCGACGGCGTGGTGGAGTTTCTAGACGTCGTGCCTAAAGTATAAAAATAATCAATTTCACTTACACCGGATCTGTCTGTTCAACTACTCCTTCGCTTAACAATATTACCAGAAACAGCAGGACTACTGGCAGCTTGCGAAACGCTATTGGAACTTTGAGAATTACCGCCGCTGCTGTTGTTTAAAGGCCCTGTTGCACTCTGAGAAGAGTCGCTTTGATTTGCAGTGTTGCTAGGGTTGGGGGTTGCAGGTGCACTGACATTTTGGGAGTTGTTGTAAGAAGTCGCGTTACTGGCATTCTCTGGCTCTACATTCTTCCTGGATCGCTGAGGACGGTTCTGGCTTTGCAACTTGATTCCCTCTGTGATAGAATTCACCAATGCAGCCTGCGAATGCGACTTGTTCAACTTAGCCAACACTCTTTCCTGGTGGGCTTCATATTCATCCCGGCTTGGATAAATTTTGGAGATCAATAAATCAAAATTAGGATCTGGTCTAAGCGATCTCTTGGACACTAACTTTTTTCTACAAGTTGGACATTCCTGGAAATAAAATGAATGGCTAATGTTCCACATTCTGAGAAATATCTAACTTCTAACAATGCTCCATGATCATTAATTATAATCACAAATTAGCACAAACCGTATTGTTGGCACAAACAGATGTAGTCGAGTCCTGATCAAAGAACCTTAACTAATTACACCAAACACTTTTTAAAACTTCACAATATTTTCCTTTGATAACTAATAATATAGAAACAGATAATAAAAAAATATTCCGACGCAATACAGAAACAATTTGCGACACATTTTAAAAAGCGCGCTAAACTCGGAGTACTTGACAGAAGCAAGTATAGAATACGCTCCGATTCTGTCGAAATATTTACAATATAACCTGGTTCGTAAACGCAAGAATAGTTATTACAATTCAAGGACAAAAAATAATTCTCGACAACAGATACACGTATATATATATATATATAAATATGAGGAAAAAAGTGTCACAATGCCGACAACAAGTAGTAGCAACATTTATTTATAGTGTAATAAGGATCTTTGAAAAACAGTTCGCAACGCGCTTGCGTTAAAAACTTGTTATTTTCGTGCCACAATGATTCCAGAACAATTACGTACCTTGTTACCGCTTCGAAGTGCCGTAATGATACAATCGGAACAGAAACGGTGAAGACATTCCTTCGTGGTCATGGTTTTTTTAAGCATGTCCAGACAAATTGGGCACATGAGCTCACTGTGCAAACTTCGCGGACTAACCGCGATCTCTGTATTGTCCGTAATTGCATCCTGGGGTGTCCGATGTAGCTCGTAAAGCGATAATTCCCAGGTTTTGTTCAGACCGACTTGCTCCGTGGAAGCCATCTTGACCACACACAAGCCGTCAGCTGAAAAGCTTGTACACATAGAAGCTGTTCGACAAATTTGTGGCCCTCTCGTGGTTGGAACGATAACTTCGAACATCGATCCGGTCGGTTAAGAAGTTTCACGTTATAAAAATATACAAAATCAATTTCAATTTTCACTCCACATCGATCCTTATTCGGACAGATGATTTTTTGAAGCTTCTATTTGGTCAAAGTACCATTTTACTGAACTTGTTTTGCAACGATTCAAAATTTAATAAAATATCAAAGCAATGGAAGTCGATAAAGCCAGGCTCTATAAGTGGCGGGTCTCTTTGAAGGCGCTAATAGGAAGCGGTGCATCTTAATCATTCCGCGGTAAACGATAGAGACATCTGTATAGTCGTTTAATCGACACGAATAAACGACGCATCGATAATCAACGGCGTCGAACGAAAACGACTGCACGATCGCGAAGATCGGAAAGAAAAAAAATAAAATGTGTAGTAGGCAGGAATCAGTGTAAGCGTAGGCAAAATATGTTTCTTCCGTATCAATAATATAACGGTATATAATAGGATGTAAAGATGGGCGTAGGCTCGGCTATTGCCGCGTAGATACGTCTTTCCAGCGAACGAGTTCAAACACATTCGTGCATCGATCGAACATGGCAAACTAGATCGACGAGACCTGAACCTTTTTTTAGTGACCTTAACTGTAGATAACCGTAATTGCATCTGTCGGTACTTATCGGGAAAACGTGTTTTATCACCTCTCTATAACGATTCCTCTTCTAGCATCTTCAATCTTGATAGGAAGAATTATCCATTTCTGGCTCTATTCATTGCTGTTGCTCGACCGTAATGATCCACATTCGAAATTGAAAAAAAGAACGACCAGATGGATCGTATACTCCACAGCATCGTATAAATTCTATTCCAAGGTTAATCAATCGATACTGGGTCCAGTCGATACTGTGCCACTTCCGACCATTGGCGTAAGGATTTTTATCCGAAGTAGGCTATCTATTTTTACGAAGAATGTTAATGACTCGCTCAAGGCATAACCAAGCGAGTTTTCGAAACCTGATAATTTAGGAATTTGGAGAAATTTAGGATTCTTTTTCTACCACATATTCACATCGATAAGAAAATGAGAAATTTTGGGCAACGAGACACTGTCGTATTCGTGAAGTATAAATTTTAAATCGTGTTTAACGCAATTATTTAAAAATTCGAGTAAACTTATACTCGACAATTTATGGGTCACAGTCGTCGAATGATACAGAGCGACAGCTTGTCCCACTTAACGGCGATCTTGCACCGTCCACTTTTTAACTCTTTAATTCCCTGTCTTTACCGAAGGTCGACGCGTTAACCGTTCTCTTCGGTTTTTGTGCGCGTTTCCTTCGAAAAGAGAGATGTCTCGTCGAACAGATAAAAAACCGGAAAACCTCGTATCTCGACGACGCGCTTTCCGTACACTGTAAGTTTTCGGGAAAACGGTGATCTTAATCGAATAAAAAGGAAAAAAAAGGTTGATTTCGTTGGTGGGTGGTGAAGCATGGCGGGGAAGAGTGGCGTAAGAAACAATCCGATATTAGAAAACTACGTAAAAACGGTTAGATTGCCACATTGACATGCTTTCTAACAGACAATCTTTCTCTTGAGAAACTTACGTAATTCTCCGAAGCACGTACTCCTCGTGTACTACCTACACTCGTACACGGCTACATACAATCTCGATGCCAAACCACGGTCACACGAGTATTATAGGTATTATATGTACGTCTTGTGTGTCGTTTTTGTGCATCTGCCTTTCTCATGGAATCGTATCTTCGCTTTACGTAAGATCGAACGTTGTAATAATAAACACCGCCTATCGAACCAGCAACTTCTACACTGTTGTACACACCGTACCTGTAATTTTCGAACAATATCTTTTTACGTTAGCCCAATCGGTACGCTTCCGTTTGAAAAACCGTGTAGGTAATTTTCGAATTCCTATTCGCGGTATTCGCATCGTCTGATCACTCGAAGAATGTTCGCGAGGTAGCCGAGTACAAGCTAGGGCTTTATGATCCGAACGAAACGTTTAATCGACCGTTTCGAATCGATCGACGCGATTAAACGGCATCGATCTCGACGGCGTTACAAAAGAACCAGCCATGATAATTCAACGAATTAACAGACGCGATCCTATTAACGACTAGGAAGCAGATTTACCATCCACCGTCTAATCACACAGAGAATAAAATGCTCCACTGATTTCCTCGCTCGACACACCATTTGTTCCTCTATCTACACTCTAATAATTATCATTTCTTTCGTTACTTCCTTGTTCCCGACATTGCGCAAGCATCCGGAAGGAGCGGTGTTTCTTACTGCTTGATACATGGTTACAAGGATCCGTTCAGCCCAGGTCAAGCATGAATCTGACCCACTAGAATCGCTGCAGTCAGAGATCTGTCTTGACCCACGGATTAACCGGCAGCCACGTTTAACACTTCCTACGAAACGATACTATACGATACGATGCGATGCGATGCGATGCGATCCAATGCGATGCGATGCGATGCGATGCAATCCGACGCGATCCGATGCGATGCGAGATCTTCTCTGCTCCTGAAAGGTCAGTGCCTCGCGTGAAAGGATTGAGAAGCTTTCATTCACGATGCTATTACCACGGATGGATTAACCATTAAGCGAAATAAGCACGTGCTTAGGACGCCAAAGAAAGGGAGATGCCATAGAAATCTTTCATTACCGGATTTATTATGGACCATATGTTCCAAAATTACTAACTTCTAAATCGTTCAAATTTTAAAGTTCTACGTAAATACGTACGTACACGAAGGCACGCAAATCTTGAAATTGTTCGAGACTTTTAAAGGTCTTAACGCGCCTCTGGTTGTTACGCAAATGTTACTACCAAGTAAAATAGTTTGCATGTTATCTTCTTGTTTCTCGTATCCTCCGTTCACATCGAAAGTAAGCAAAAGTAAAAATACGATGAAAAAGAACATCAGCCGTGCTTTACTTTCTTCGAACAAAAACCTACTATCCACTATCGGTAAACGTAGTCGGAGTTGTTTATTAAACATTAAAAGTCAATCTCGTGTAAATAATAACATGCATCGAGGACTTTGCCTTCTATACAGAATATGGTTATTAATACGATAAGAAACACGTACAGGAACGTAATCGAGAGGATGATGAATGGTTGCGGTTAAAAAAAACTGGAAAGTTGATACACCTAGGAATTACATTAGAACGGAAAAATCAAATCTCCAAAGACTATAATAATCATTCTAGCAGAATCCAGCTCAGGTTAGCAGCGTTTCCTTGTTTCCGGTACTGCACAAGAAGCCGGAAGCGGACACGGTTTCTTTTCACGGAGTGATATATGGTTGCGATCGTTTATTCGTCGCACCGTACATCCAAGTCTATTTTGACCGAGAAAATTCGTGAAATTGTCGCAATCTAACCACGAGACGAGTTTCCGTCGACCTTACGGTTCAACTTACAAACCACGGAACGCAGAGTTCCAGTCCGAAACCTGTTGGGTCCGCCACAAGATTTACACTGACTATTAGTACTCGTTTATGTCTTGGGTCAAACGTGAAACGCGACCCACCATCGGCTCATAATAATGTACGTATGCTTCTACGATTTGCTCAATTATACCATTGCAAACTATAGACTGTCGGAAAAAAATACGCAAGCTCTATCGGACCAACAAAAGATATTCAACGACGAACATAAAGTTATCAAAATGTACAACGCATCGAAAGAAAGAAAAACTTTTACGGATTAAACGGTACTTTAGCTTGATCAGGCTAAGTAAAGAAGATTGATGAATCGATGACGAGAGAGCGAGATTCTTCGGACAAACCATAACTCGTTTGGCGAAAAGTATGTTTTCTTCGAGTTTTCCTGCTTCGTTGATTAAAGGGGTCTTCACGTTGCGCTAGTTACTCTGCACGGTACAGACCCATTTTCATACATGAAAACTGCATCTCCAGCGAATCCTATCATTATTTCATTGCGAAATGTAATTTCGTTTTAAATCTACCGACCGGTTTCAAAATGTTTCGATCGTTAGTGAAAATCTACGGATGCAAATGATTTTTCCACGACGAACGATTGGATCACGAAATAACATAACCTCTGGTAGATTAAAACGATCCGAAATGAAAGGACGTACCGACGGACGATGCAAATTACACTCGAAGGAAGTATCTATTTTACAAGGGGTCTTATTAATGCTGGAACGAGGCTTTACCGAGAAGAAGGCTTGCCTGGAATTTCACCTTTTACCTCGATGAGCGAAGTAATTCAAGCCCAGCTTGTAAATCAAGAAAGCCATAACAATTTCCTCTAGGCAACGATATTTTTTAAAACGCGCCGTGAATCACTTTTCTATTCGCGTATACGGTATGACTGATCGTCTAATTTCTCATCAAAGTGTACCATATTTCTTTTCCAAGATATTTATAAGCTTCTCTCTGCACGTCGTAACATCGAACAAAATTAAATTGCAATTTGTTACGTTTACCGGAAAGTTCTGTCCGCGCGTCTCAAACGCATATCCATTAGGTACAATTTGCCCGAAGATATATTTCCTCCGTTGCGAAGTCAAAGCAAGGGACCCTTCACAGCTTTCGACTCTGTACAGAGACCACCGTCGTTTCGGTGAACGACGATCGGTGCAAAGAATAAAATAAAAAAGAAAACACGCATCGGAGTCAATTGAATGGAAAATTGGTATTTCAATAAAACGATAGTCGTATCGTAGAGATCACGTTCCGGCAGACTTAATCCTGGACGTTTATCTCTATCCGCGTATATTGATTTACGAGCGATCCACCGAAAGGAAGACCGAGATCGATCGTTTCTCATTAGCCAAAGATCACGAATGCACACGGGCGAGGGAGTTGACCCAGTAAGAATCGAGCTCCTTGTTTACGCGATATTTGGTGCGACCTGGAGGGCATTGGTGCGACGTAGGTCGTGGCTTGACCCACAGTCTGAGAATCCTCCTGGACGTCGGAGCCAACCGCGAGGCGAGATGTAGAGGAGTCTCGTTGGAGAGAGGCGATACTCACACGTGCACCTCGAGGCATTCACGAGTTGGCAGTCGGCTGTTGAAACCCGCCCGGTGAATGCCTCTCGAGGCTCTCCTATACGGATTTTTACCGACCTTTGGATGCACCCAAGGGGGTTCTCGTCGTTCTACGCACGCCGAACAGTTTTGCGCGTGCATACTCGTAAAAGGGAAATTTCGATCATCGGCGAACCCGAGTATCGCGTCGATCGTTGGCGCGTGACAGGGATTACGAAGAAGAAAGTGAAAATGTGATTCTGCGATGGTGAACGAGGGAATTACAAGTAACTGGATCATTGACTCCTCGATGGATTTCATTAGTTTTGTTTTAGTGATATTCAAGAGAAATCGAGAATTGAAACGATTATATTAATCAGTGGGGACTCGATGCAAAACCGTTTCAGTGACTCGAACGCTGTCTCAGCGGTGATTTCGTTTCTGTGATCCGTGTTGATAAATACGACGAGTTAATTCTCTGTTCGATAAGTGTGGAATTCGAAAGGTTGGAAATTGTATCTCGAAACGAAAATTAGTCGCTCCTTCACGAAAGATACGAGATCATTACAGTTTACGGTAATTTAAGTGAAAACGCGGTAAAACGTGTTACGAATAACAGTTCCACGAAAGAAAGGCGCAAGAAATCATTCGCCTTAAACGGAAGAAAAATACTTGTCGAGTTCGTAACGCAATGTAATAACGGTTCCAACGATTTTTCACGTAGCCTCAGTGGATCACTAGGTTTTCCAACCACGTCGTCTGGTTCACTTTTTGCCAAAGTTTCCACGCAACTGTTCCAGAAACGTGACGGCTAACCGGCGGTTAATTAATTTCTCGTTTCTTTTCTCCTCTAATCGAGTAACGTCGTCCGTGTTTTTAACGCGGATGCGCGTCGATTCTCGAGATTGTTATCGCGACAAATTGCAGAGCAACCGCGAAACGACAAATCAATCTGACGTTTGGTATGCGACAGGCAGAATTCGAATTCATACGGGGCGCCGTTACTTTGACTGCAAGAAACTTTTTGCGCGATGAAAGGTGTAATCGGTGTTCAAGATGAATAGCCGGGGGCATATGCGAGGGGACACGCAGGAACGTTTCGTAGGAGCTCCTTCTTTTCCATTCGAGTGCGCAAACGGTCGCGACGCGAGTGTGAGAATCCTCGAGACACCGACGACGCTGACGGTGACGACGACAGTGACGTTAATGACGTTAACGACAACGTACGACGATGCAGCGAACCGATAACGTCGCACGAAACGTAACAGGAACAAGCGTAGCGTTATCGGTAACGAGACTTTAATTGTGCACCCGCGCGAAGTAACACGATATAATTAACGCGCGCGTTAATTAAACGAAAATTCGGAATACATTTACGGTGGGAGTACATGTAAAACGCGTTCGATTCGCCATCGAAAAGGAACGATTCTAACCATAGACTAGCTTCAACATGAAACGAGCCCGCGTATAAGTCTCGAGAATAATTTATGAATCTGCATACCGGGATATCTTAATAAAGTCGCGTCGTAAAGAGGCGCCTTAATCCTTTTACTCTTCGAGGAAGCACGGCACGCAGCTATTTAATAAATGCTCTCTTCGAAGGGTGGTTGGCCAGGCCCCGTAATTACGCAAGTATGAACACAATCGCGGAGGTAAAGACAATGCAGGGGATATCGCGATATCGGTGAGACATCGCTGAAGAAAAATTTCTCATTGTCCGTGGAATGTGGGCGTATCGGGAAAGATATCTTGCAGATACGAAGAAGGATTTCGCTTCTAAAGAACTACGCGTAGCGGTTTATGGAGCACGCGCTGTCAATGTATATATTAGTTATTTAGGTTAATCGTGTAAAAGACCAGTGGAACACTTTAAATCTAATTGCAACAAAGTAATCGTATTCGCGATGTTCCAACAAGATTAAAAACAGATAAACCTACGATCCTCTGTGCTTCTAACGGAGATTAACAGAGCATTTAATGCTGTTAATTGTGATCGAGTTATAAAGAAACTTGCCAACTCGCGATGTAATGATTCAACGTTTTAAGTTCAGTGAGTTTGATAATATCAAGAAAACCGACGTTATTTGTGCAAAAATTTGTTAGACCGAATTAAAAGTTGTGAAGATCGTGAAACTAGTTGCATCGCACGCTGCGAGAAAATGGGAAACGTACGATCGCAACCTTGTCGACGAGGTAAACCTCACTACCTGTTCTACCTTATCCACAAAACATGGAACATCGTAGCTGACCAACGAAAGGAACACGATCGTTCTGACAATACCGACCAGGAAACTGACTTATCGTCGAGATGCTGTGATTGCAATGGCTGCGACTACCGACAAGACAGTCTTATCTTCGACAGGTAATACAGCACGTTACGATAGCAACACTTTCAAATACGTATACGCAGCATACGATTTATAATACGATTATGAACAATATGTGCTTAATAATTATATTATGAACGAAAATTACTGCTCGAGTCTTACCTTGTGCAGTGGCTGCAATTGATGACGCAATTCCCTCTGCGATTCCACTTGCCCATTTTATTGTAAAATAAAAATGAGTTGTCCAATCTTGTGTATTGTCACAATTTATCAAAAGTTTCACTTTTATAATAAACAACAAAATATGACATTATACATTCGTACCTTCTACACACTAGCACTTGACACGTAACTGTTAAAATCCGCGTCTTGCTTCTACGATCTAATGCACGCCGATATTACCGCAATCGATACATTCGATAGTACAACCAGCGCCATATTTCTCGATCGACTCCGTAACTTTCCCGCCAAATTGTTGATCGTCGGAAGCATGCGACGCCTGGTGGTTGAATGCAATACTAAAGTGGCAGTGGTTAGAATAAAAACAGGATGAAAAATTTGTTCTTTTTTTCCATTTTTGTACTCTGCTACTGCAATCTTATCGTTTAGAAGTAAATCCAGTATGGGTAAATCGACTTTATTCGTTATATAATATTGCTTTTAATAGATTTCTATATTTTCATCAATTACCATGTCGTGTAAGGCTTCGCGCTTTTCAAGCTAACAAATTGTTAACCTATTTCCTAGGAATTTGTTCGTTGAAAAAGGACGAGAGAGAAAGAGAGAAGATGTAGAAACGTTATTAAGCATCGATTTAACGGAAAACGAATTCCTGTTGATCATTTCTATCCCCGCAACAATATTCAAGCCGCGCAATAACTGTCGCAGTCATCTCACGAAAATTACACATTCTGAAAGCTAGTTCTACCACTCGACGTCCGTCTTGTGCTTATTTCACATGCATGCGGTAAGAAAACGATAGAATATTGACCACATACTCTTCGCGTTTATCCATTCTGCCCCTCTACGTGACGCATCACAGGATAAACTGAGATCTGGCTTACATTACGAGCAGGTGGAGGCGCCGGTGTCAGTAAACCTCCGGTCGTCTCAAAGAACGGATCGCGTCGTTTCTTCCCTCGCGGAGCCTTGGTGAACGAAAATCGTGGTAGTTCGATTTTTTGTTTCAACGATGAACGTCAATTTATCGTTGCACGTGCTAGTTCGTGAATGAATACGATTTCGTGTGTTCTTCGAAACATGTGCTGGAACAGTTGAACGAGGTGCACGTGTAACTCTCAGATAATTCAGGTAATTTCATCTAATAATCTACGTTTAAATGGATTATGACAGATACAAAACCATATTGATAAAAATTCGAATTTTTCGTTTTCAAGAATACATTTGTAATTCGACGTTATTGCGTTAAGGGCATTGGCATAACTAAGACTTTCATTCTATGATACCGGCCTTAGATTATCACGCGATTAGATCACCATTCGATACGTTGTTACGTGTTGTATGGTTTCTAGTTAACTTTTTGTTACTTGTACTTGTATATGTATGGATATATCTATACGTATCAATAGCGCCAAAATGATTACTCGTAGGTAAAAACGACACTGAAAGTAAACTTATTTTCATACAGGCAAACACGAAGAAGTTAGAGCTCCTTGTTATCGAATATTCTCTGAAAAATAACTTCCCAAACGCTTCTCTCCGAAGGAACACGAGTTTGAATTACTCCAAATCCGATCATCTCCTAATGCATTTTCGACTATGGAAAAGGTTTTAACGAGACGGACAATTTCGTTCACACACGACTCACCATAAAAAGGTACACAAACCCACTACTAATCAGTGCACGTAGATTTGCGCATGTACGCACGCGTGCCGAAGCGTTCCTCTGCTTGTAAATCAACGCAAGAAAACGCGTGCATACATCCTGACGCAAAAAATACGACAGTCGTTACTTCTATGCCAATTACAGCAATCATAGAATACCGTGGTTTTTTAAAATATGCAATGATTCGACGCGTTTCCTCGCGTATGATCGCATCGAGTTTATTATTCCCGGCTTGTTACATGAACGACCATGGTGCACGGTGTCGTAGAGTTCCATTGTTCTTTGAATGAAAACCTTTGCATCGTGGAACGTGTTCGAAAAACAAGCCGTGGAATCGGGACTATTATTCTTCCACGACCTGTCCGGGGCGAATAACAATTATGAAATGTTCCGTGAGACAAAGAAACATCGGAGAAATGACGCGAGGAATCGCAAACGCGGTAAAACGTTCAACACCGTTAGGACTTTCTGCACCCGTTTCAATCGGTGTTGATCGATTATTCTTTCGTTAACCGTACACCCGGTGATTTGTGACTCAACGAGTATTCTATAATCGTGTGGGCATTCGCACGCAAAAGTCATACGAAACGGTAATACGAACTCGAGTAATCATTTACGTTTAGAGCGATAGAGGAGTAGTTGCACTCGCGTTGCCTTCAACGTTCCTTACGATTTCCTGTGAAACGATCAATTTATTACCGTACGGGCTAATTTTTTCGCAGCGTTCTTTGATAGTAAAATATAATTTAAGAAAAAAAAATCATAAATTCGCGTAGACTCGGTTATCGGCTAAGAAAATCGTAGATTAGATCAAATTTCGAAAGAATACGCTCGCATCCTGTGTATACGAAGCAAACTTCACGGTTAAACATCCTTTTTCCCAACGGATAAAGTTAGCGATAATGGGAACAGTTGCCATTCCTGGGGTTAAGTAAATCAGCGCCGTTCGATGTCCATTCTCGATAGATAACGGTGCTTGGATTTCGTGCGCATAGATTCCTCCAAGTTTCAACGTAATGATTTTATTAGCACAGCGTACGCACCAATTTACGTAAATAAGCGCAACCACTTTTTCTTTGGGTGCTCGAGCATCCTCGTAATCCGTTTCACAGAGACACAAGAGGAGGACTTATTCTTCTTGGGACGGTGACTCGTTAAACGTAGCTTGTAACTCGGTACCAATTTACGTTGTAGCCGATGTTCCGAACGATTTAATGCCTTCTGATGCTAATAAACCGTTTCCGCGGCCTGGCTACACCGTTCTACGATAATCGTAAGATGCACGGGTCCGATCGGGCCGCGGTTGCGCGCGTTTTGTCCGGCAAAAAAGATCGATTAAAGAAGGAAACCTGCGAAAGGGATGCTGGTCGGATTAAGATCCCGGAAAGGGCTTTGAAAGGAACGATCTCGGGAATCTTTGAATCTCGCTTTACCACTGTAACCGGCCACGGTTCAAACTGGGACTAGCTGCTAATTATTCTTACGCTATTTTATCAAATTCTTATTCTTCGATCTGCGCTCCAAATATCAAAGATGGATATTACATAGGCCGACCGAAAAACAATTGCGCAGAACAATTGTAGAATCCTCGTTAAAGCTACGGTACCGCGTTCTTGTTGTCGTTTTTATTTTTATAACCTTTCTCGGACAATAATCCTAGTTACGCCAATGATGCTATCGTTTAGAAACACGAGCACCCGGTTATATTACGCTTCCACGCGAACTGCAACATTCTAGTAGCTAATGAACGAATATTAATCTGGTTTACGTTGTTCGTAATTATAGATAAACGAAGGAGAGATAGCTGTAATGATTAAACGATCGTAGAAAGTGGTAGGAAAGCAATTTCTTAGCGGGAGAAGCGTATTTTTTTACGATCGAATATTCCAGCATTCAAACAAACGGAAGTCATTTGATGAACGTTAAGGATTTAATCTGTGAATCTCGCGACGTTTGTAACCAACGCAACGGCAAGAGTAGAACGCGTAATATTTTGAAAACATTGAATTGTTTTCCTGAGAACTTCCGCTCGATTCTATCCTCGCGTATTAATGAAGATAGTCTAGAGAAACGCTATTTCTTTATCGTACCTGACAGTGCGTAGCTGACTCATTAATTTATACTGGCGTCGCTTAAAAAAAGAAAGAAAAACAACGAAGAGTCTCAGTTTTAATTGACGATACAAGTCAAGCACGAAACACGTTTTACTTTTAATCGCGTAGGATCGTATCGATAGAGTTTCTATGAGGCGACCGTAGATATTTGTCAGGATCGTGGTTAAAAAGTACAAAAGTCGATCTAAATCGAAAGCGTATGACTAGCTGTGATCTAAAGTGACTAAACGAGTTCTGTCAAAAACGATTGTTAAAAAACGTCGAAAAAAATGTTGAAAGAAAACTACTCTATTAAAGCAAACGCAATCGAGATCTAGGCGTATAAATTATCGGGTACGAGTTAATGAATACGCATCAATTACGTTTATAATAATCCGGATATGAAATAACGGGTGTAACGATGATAAATTTCTACGCACGGTTCCGAGCTAGATTACAATTAGTTAGCGGGGTGCTTGAACTTTACGCGTGTGCGCGTGTCGTAAGTACGCGTCCGTCCATAAGTTGCCGGCAATTAAAGCGAGAACCTCTCGGTAGATTGTCTCCTTGCGTTTTTACATTTGTTATTAAAGCCTCGTTCAAACTTCTATGCACCCTATCGTAAATGCAATGATGAATTTAATTTTGGTACGCGTTGGAACGTAACATTCCCTAAATTAGTCGACGACCTACATTTCGGTAATGTCTGCCTCATCTGAAATGCAGCGTAAAATCGATGATTCGATTGCGTATCGCGTTAGAAAGTAGTTCAGGGACATCTCGAAGAAACGAAGTGTTCGTGTCATTCTCTAAGTTTAACGATGTGGAACGATATCATTTGACATCGTAGAACGTATTCGTGTCGATCTTACCGAGGTATAACGAGTTACATTCTTATCAAAGGATTTGAGGGGACATTAATCGGCGAGGAAAAATAAAAATTATGAGGTATATAGAGCACGACGATCGGAGAGAAGGCACGCGACAATTTTCTTTCTCCGCGGTTCGCGTGCCGTTCAAGTTTCACCGCTTTACTCTTCTTCGAGGAAAGTTAACAAGAAAGTCTTCTTCCCTTATAATTACCGCGACAAACCGC